CAAAAATAAATGTTAATACTTTTAAATTATCACAAAATATTTTAAATGCATGAAAATAAAAAAAACACTACAAGACCAAAATAACATAAATTAAGATTACACAAGAAAAAATAGTACAATTATAAAAAAATATTTTTTTTTTAGTTGTTGGCAAAATGAGTCCAAATATGCTCAACTAAAACGACACGAAGTTGATGATGCATTGTAATTATAAATATTATGTATTCACATTTTGAAAAATGATTTAGGGCATATATGGTCTAGACCATATATGGTTTATGGCATATATTTACAGTCTAGATTTTCTTAGTGAATATATGCCCTAAACCATATATGGTCTAGACTGTAAATATGAAATAAACTTATTTGAGTGTGTTAAATTTTTATTCATATGGTATCATTTTAATATTAAAAAAATACAAAATAAAATTATAATACATAAATAAATAAATAAATAAATAAATAAATAAAAGAAAAAGAGCTAACTAAATATTTACTTTAAAACAAATAAAATAAAATAAAAAAATAAGCATGATGCATGCTTTTAATAAAATAACATTTTAAAACAAAAAAAAATAAAAAAAATGAAAAAGAAGTGAACAAGGCGTTCAATACATTGAACGTTATAGTGGGCCATCCCCTTTAATGAACATCCCACATCCGAATGAACGCAAGAGTGCCGTTTAAACGCACCAAATTAACGGCGGGATGCAGGTGCTCTAATAAATATCTCTCCAGTGGTAAATGTCTATATGTGATACACGTGTTTTTTTCTCTTTTCTTGTTCTAGAAAAGCCAAAAAAACTTGCATGCCAAGCAAACTTTAAACCAAAATTATGTTTAATATCTCATATTATATTATATTTAAATTCCAAGAAATCAGGTGACATTTAAATAATAATATAGAGAAATGCTACAGTCCCGTTACAATACCATCCCGTCGGATGTCAGGTCCGGCCATGGGTCAGGGCAGCCTGGTCAACGGCCTATGTAGTGTACTCTACATATATGCATATTACTCTTGGTTGGTTGGTTTATTCCTATGAATTATAATGTGGAGACTTATTTAACAAGTATTTATTGTTCACCTTTCTCCAACTTTTACCACATTATCCCACACATTTACTTTTTGTATTTTCTATAACATATTTCTCTCTCACACCCAACAAAACCACCCAACATTCTTTTATCTCGATCATTATTTATCCCTCTATGTGAAGTTAATTATTATTACATATAGTTACATTATCCTTTATACATATTTATCTTACTTAAATATATTATATTATTTGGTGTTTGACAATTGTAATTAATTTATATATTATATTTAATTAACTTCTTAAAGTTACTTTCAGTGTTGTTTAATGTTGCTTTAATAAAAAAATTCAAATATATTTAATATTTATTTTGTAACTAGTTATGGTTGATTTGTCATTTTTTATATTTTTTTACCATTTTTTAAGTTATGTGTTGTGAGAGTTATTCTTTTTTTTATAGCTCAAACATAACTATAAGTTAACTAAAGATAATTAATAATTAATATTGCAATAAATTTATATTATTTTATGTATTTAAGATAATTGATGATAATAAAATTGTAATTTTACTTAACTAATGATCTTTAGTTAACATGTCATCATGTTTGAACTACTTAACAAATCATTCTTATGACATATAAAACCACTTATAAAGTGAATCATATCAAATTTAACAACTATTTAATCTATGAAATTGAAAGATAATACATAAAATTTTGATTATGGTGATACAACTTTCCGCTAAAATTTGTAATGAAGCTTTGCAAGCGATTTTATTAATATTATATTTTTGCCCCTACAGAGGGTTTTTGTTGGTCAATTTGTTACTTAATGTGTCAAAAATTTATATTGAGACGTTATTATTTTGTAAAAGCACTCAACGTATTATCTATTGGAACATGAAAGTGTGTCATTAACCTTTTATATACGTGATGAATTGTGAAATATTTTGCTGAGGTTGTGCTTTACATAACAGATTATATAAATTAATATGTTTAGCAAAATAATTATTGGAGCATTGTTGATATTATATAAATACTCTAATTTTTTTTTTTTTTATATATAAAATACTTAGAGCGCGTTTGTTTCGGAAGATAGGAAAGGATTAAGGGGATAGTCTGGGGAAAATCCGGCGTTTGTTTACCATGACAAGGGCTCGGAACATCAGTCGCGGCCCGCGATGTACAGTGACTTAATCCCTCTTTCAGCTGATAATTTGATCTGCCCAAGGGGGGTGTGATTCGGACAAGTCCGAACAGTGGCAGACGGTCCATTGTCTAATATGCCCCTAAAAGTGATTCTTGAGTACTAAACTGCCCTCACTGACCATGAAAATTACACGCTGCCACTGCACATTTTCCCATAAATCAATACCTTCTTCTCCACAAAACAAGTATTGAAGTCCACATTATTGACTATTTCTGCAGTTAAGAACGAACCCCGTCAGCCGTGCGGCTTGTATTGTAGATCTACTTTTCTCATCGGCTATTCAGGTGCAAACTCGTTCTTCCTCTCTCATCACCTTCATCAGATATGTGTTTCCATTCGTAATGAAATGCGTGTTTGATGTGTTTTATAAAACTGCTTTAACCTCTGAATGGTATTAATTTTATACTATTGTTGTAGCTATGGACATTGAAATGGAAGAAGTTGAGGTTCTTTTCATCGTTGAGGATATAATGAATACATTGACCATTGCGTTTTTTATTGCAATGTTGTACCTGAAAATTGTGAGGCAAAAAAAACGTCGTCTTAGAATTCGAGAGCAAAATGGACGGGGTTTCTTGAAAATGTCAGATCGACTACCTAGGCAGCTACAACATATGCAAGAGCTTATATGCATTAGTGATAGAGTGTGTGTGGAACAACTACGTACGTATGGATAGAAATGCCTTTGGTCGATTATGTTATCTTGTGGAGCATGTTGGTAAACCACAAAGTAGTCGGAATGTGCAAATATGTGAGCAAGTGGCCATTTTCTTGATTGTTCTATGTCATCATAAAAAGAACGCGGTGGTTAAATATGATTTTAAGCGCTCCGGTCAAACAATTAGTAAAATTTTTCATATGGTACTTAAAGTTGTGCTACGCTTACACCCGCTTATCATCGTATAACCTAAACCTGTTGAGGAGTCCAACAATGATTGAAGATGGAAATGGTTTAAGATTAGTATTACTTAAACAAAATATAAAAAATGAAATAAATTGATAACGCACTTAATTTTTCTGATTGTTCTGCTTTTCGTTCTTTTATAGTTATGCCATGCAGGGATGCTTGGGAGCATTAGATGGAACCTATGTTCCTGTATGTGTTCCTAGTAATTTGCACCCGAAATACTGAAATAGAAAGGGTAGTGTTTCGGTAAACGTCTTAGGCGTATGTGATGTGGATATGAACTTTTCTTACATCTTGGTCGGCTGGGAGGGTCTGCGGCAGATAGTAGAGTTTTGAAGGACACAGTAAGCGAGATGGTGGGTTACGTGTTCCTACATGTGAGAGCTTTTACTTAAGTGGCATTGAAGTTTGTATAAGTTTGAATCAGGAATGCACACTTTATTTATTATTTGCAATTAGAAACACTTTACATAAGTTTTTTTTTTCTTTTTTTTTTTTGCTTCACAGGTAAACTATCTTTGCGATGGAGTACACAAACGGGCCGGGATTTCTAGCACATTTAGGGACGCGCGCTATCTTTTGTACTTTTTGCATGATTAATGCTTTGAACAACAAGCACCGAAATGAGTTTATAATTTAGAAATCGGAAAATACAAAATTGCCACAGTTAGAGCATCTCCAATGCTATGACTTTGAAAGCCATTGATTTTGAACACATGTCAATCAATGATTGTAATGTTAATCCATGTAGGAATAATGTTAAAAGAGTAGAAATTTGAATCAAACTTGTATCTCCAATGCATCAATTTGATAAGAATTTATTTGTATAGGTGGACCAATAAAAATAATCATTAATACAAGAAAAATAAAAAAATAAAATCAAATATAAAGTGAATTAATTAGACATCATGTTTAACATGGTGTTAGATATTAGAAAGTGTACTCAACATTGTCAACATTAAATTCTATCCACCTCATCATGAAAGAACTCATGACAAAATGCATTGGAGAACAATTTAGTAACACACTTCCAAAAGTTGATGATATGGATAAATTTTTATATTGTCAAAAGTCACATTGGAGATGCTCTTATGGTGGGAGACAGAAGATGCAATCAAATACCCTTTCCAAAAATAAAGTATGACCACAGCAGCACGAACCGAGTTTAAGTAGGAAAAAATATGGGAACACAACATGGGTTTGCAAATTTTTGGAAATAAACAAAAAAAAGAAAATAATAGTAACAAAAACAAAAAAAAAAACACCAATTACGTATGACTAAATGAGCGACATACAAATCCATATTGGAAGGGTCAAATACGTAATTGTGCTTCTTATCCTAATTTTAATTGTGGATAACAAACAAAAACTCCAGTTTAACAAATAATATCATCTTCCATGAATCAAGGAGAACAAACATGATATTATTTTAATCTCTACACCCCTAATTTTGTGTTAAAAGATTAAATTATATAATTCTATCTTCCCAAACAAACATGCTCTTAAGGCACTATTTTTTGCTTTTGCCCCACGGCTAAATAATGTTCAGGACCGACTCTGTCGGATGCTTTAATCGTTGAATACACATGTAGTTAGTATAAGTAGATGATCCACCGGTTAAATTACCTGACGGGATGATACAACTGCCAAACGAATGAAGTAAAATGCATGCAGGCCCACCATAATCCTTCAATCCCCACCAGCCAACCAAACAGTGATGAAATGAAATACATTACCTGCAACAAATCAAATAACCAAGAAAATTTTGAAATTTAAAAAAAAAAAAAAAAAAAAAAAAAATTCAAGAAAACTAAATTTTCAACTTTCAACAACTCAATTTAGGAATTATGATGATGATCTTCTGTTCGTCTCTGTCTGCTTCTTTTGCTCGCACGCCCAAGTCTTCACCGCTTCACACTTATACGACACCGTTTGGGAATTTGAACAAGAACCCTAGAGTGTGGGTTGGGTATTCATATTTTCGCTCGAGAAGAAATCTCAGTTCTCTCTTCTTTGTGGGTTCTCCTTTGAGGGCACCGGTCAGATGTTCCCAACAGGAACAAGATGTGCAGCAGCTGGTACAACAGGCTGAAGCCAAGGATCAAGTCTACGAGATGGAGAGGCTGTTTTCAAACCTTAATCAAGCCACATTGAAGAGGGAACCTGGTAACAACTTAAAGTAAATTGAATCGGGTTGATTTATGAACTTGCAGTGTAGTTCTTGAAGCCCTCGTGAGACCCTTTCTTGTTAATTTGAGAAACTAGTTGCAGAGGCAGACAGCCAAATTTGCTTGAGCAAGTTAATGCAATGGGCAGTCGTGCAATAAAATGATAGAATGTTATGATTGCATTTTGGTGGTTGTGTAGTAAAAGAATGTAATGATAAGCAGGAGAAGGATCGTAGGTAGACTGCTTGTATAAGCTTCGAAACTTTGCGATTTGAAAAATTGGATTCGAAGTTGTGTAGCATTTTAGGTTATTTAAACCATCTATAGTCTGTTATCGGTTTTCTTGCGTTATCCCTATGCAGAACAAAGGTAGATAACTTTTAGTTAAGCTTTTGGGCTCATAATTGTGATTGATTATGGTTTGTTTACATATTTATCGAATATATTTTCAGGAAGCCTAAGCAGTGCAGTCTTCCTTGTTGCTGGCACCACTGTATGTTCATTCCTTCACTTTCTTTGACAACTATATTATTTTATGTCAAAACAAACATTTATGCATACTTGCATATCAGGCATTAAAAGAAGTTGTCATATCTTGTATACTTTATAACTAAATGAATGTCATTTAGGCACAGGAAAATGCTACTTCATATTTATTTGCACTTCTGAAATGAACTTTTTTCGAACCGACGCTTGTTACATCCATCATTTTTGACAAAATACTATTACACTTCATGATTTTTCAACTGCTTATTTTAATGGTATTACAAGTTTATGTTGGTGAATTTCTGAACAGGTTGGTGCTGGCATCCTTGCCATCCCTGCTGTGACACAAGAAGCTGGATTTCTTGCATCAGCAGTAACCTGTATCTTATGCTGGATATTTATGGTAACCTTTTCACCATTATCTTTTTTTTTTTTTT